CTCAGGAATCCCTTACCTGCTTTCTGTCAATGAAGATTAGATTGCATTTTGTAGAATTTTTATGTAAATTGAATCATATAATATGCTTTATTATTTTTAATTGCTGAGTAGTACTGTTCGGTAAGTATACTACACTTTGTTTATCTGTTCACCTGTTGATGGACATTGGTTTGTTTCCAGCTTTTGGCCATTACAAAAGCTGCTTAAGAAACTACCTTAAGTCCTAACCAGTTTTGCTCAGTGGTTAGAGCCTTGGCCCATGGACTGAAGGGTCCCAGATTCTGTTCCCGCCAAGGACACGTACTTTGGTTGCAGGCACGATTTCAGGCCCAGTCAGAGCTAGTGCGGGAGTCAACCAATTGATGCGGCGCTCTCATATCTATCTTTCTCTCCCTCCCTTTCATTCTCTGAAAAGCAGTGGAAAAAATATCCTCAGTGAGGAATAGAAAAAAAAAAAAGAAACGTTAAATCCTGGCTGTGTAGCTCAGTTGGTTAGAGTGTTGTCCCGATTGGCCAAGGTTTCAGGTTTGATCCCCAGTCAGGGCAAACACACGCAACTAATGAATGCATAAATAAGCGGAATAACAAATCGATGTTTCTCTCCTTCTCTCTCTTTCTCTTTCTCTCTCTTTCTCTCAAATCAATAAAAATATATATTAAAACAAACAAAAACCTACCTAACATTTGTACCACTTACCAAATGGAAAGTGTTTGTACCACTTTCCATTTCCACCAGCAATGTATGTTTGAGGGTTCCATTTCCTTGATATCCTGGCTAACACTGTATGGTCAGCCTTTTAAATTTTAGTCATTCTGTCAGGTGGGTAGTAGTAACTCACTGTGGTTTTGATTTGCATTTATGTTATTACTAATGATGCTTAGCATTTTTCATGTGTTCAAATAATTTCTTTAGTGAAATGTCTTTATATCTTTTGTTCATATTTTATGGGTTGTTACACAGTTTCAAGGGTTCTTTATATATCTTACATATAAGTTTTCTATCAGATGAATGCTTTGTAAATATATGTTCCCAGTCTGGCTTGCCTTTTCATCTCTAGTGTCTTTTGCAGAGCAGAAGTTTTTAATTTTAGTTGAGTCCATATTATCTATTCTCTCATAGATCATGTTTTTGGTGTTGTATCTACAACGTTTGCTTAACCCAGGGTCATGCAGATTTTCTCTAGAAGTTTTATAGGTTTAGATTTTACCTAAAACCATTTTGAGTTAAATTTTAATGTAGTGTGAGGCATGAACTTAGGTTCTTTCCCCCCCCATATGTGGATATGCAATTGTTCTAGCACCATTTGTAGAAGAGTGTCTGTTTTCTACTGAACTGTGTGCACTTCTGTTGAAAATAATTTATATCCATTTATGTGTGGGTATATTTCTTAACTTTATTCTGGTCCATGGATCTATTATTACATCTGGATTATTTAAAAATCAAGTTTAGCCCGGCCAGGCGTGGCTCTGCGGTTGAGCGTCGACCTAGGATCCAGGCGATCGCGGTTCGATTCCCGGTCAGGGCACATGCCCGGGTTGCGGGCTCGATCAGTGACTCTCATTATTGATGTTTCTATCTCTCTCTCTCCCTCGCCTTTCCTCTCTCTGAAATCAGTAAAGATACATTTTAAAAAAATAAACAAACATGTTTAAAAGTGATTTTCGTATACACAAAACAATACCAGATATTGTTCATAGAAACATATGTAAACTTGATTTTTTTTTTAATATCTTTATTGATTTCAGAGAGAGGAAAGGAGAGGGAGAGAGAGAGAGACAGAAACATCAATGATGAGAGAGTCATTGATGGAGCCCGCAGCCCGGGCATGTGCCTTGACTGGGAATCGAACCCCGATCACCTGCATCCTAGGTCGACGCTCAACCGCAGAGCCACGCCCGGCCGGGCTAAACATGTTTAAAGGCTATTATACAGTACATACTTGGCGACTGACTTCATTTTAACAGGTTTTGACTTCTCTTTCATGCTGACTTTATGACTGCTATAAATAGCGTGACTTTATATTTTGGTTTCCCAGGGACAGTCCTAATTTATTCCATTTAACCTGGTATAATTATTAATAGCACCACTTTTCAGTCTTATAAGTGCCCTATATGATTATTTTAGATATAGAGGTTTCCATGCTGTGACTAAACCACAACTTAATCCATTTTTAGTTTGACAGACATGCACATTGTTACCTGTCTTATATTTTATAACTAGAATGGCAGTTAAGTTCTATGTTTTGTGCAGACAGGTGAGTTTCTTTTATATACAGGGTGTCCCAAAAAAATGTATACGTACTTTGAATAATTATTATTATTTTTTAGTATATATTTATTGATTTCAGAGAGAGGGAGGGAGAGAGAGAAACATCAATGATGAGTCATCATTGATCAGCTGCCTCCTGCACGCCCCCGACTGGGGATTGATCCCAAAACTCAGGCATGTGCCCTGACTGGGAATCGAACCGCAATCTGGATCCTAGGCTGATGCTCAACTGCTGAGCCACGCCCTGCCGGGCCTTTGAATAATTATTAATTCCAATGGGTTAAATCTGAAAAGAAAGAAACATCAGTTGAGCTATCAGCTGCAAGGTGTGTATACATTTTTTGAGGACACCCAATATCTAGAAGACAATTGCTAAATTCATCAGAATGTTTTTATTTTTCAGATAACTGCAAAATATTTCTTCCCTGTGGTTGTACTATTTGACACCCCTTCAACGATTTTTGCAGGTTCTCTTTTCCTGACTTCTTTGCCAGTGTTTGGTATTATCTTATTTTAAAGGCTTTACTTATTTATTTAATTTATTTTAGAGACAGAGGAAGGGAATGAGGGAGAGAGAGAGAAACATAGATGTGAGAGAGGAACATCGAATGGCTACCTCTTGCATGGCCCCTACTGGGGATCTAGCCTGCATTTTGGGCATGTGCCCGATCTGAAATTGAACCAGTGACCTTTCTGTGCTTGGGACAATGCTAAACCAACTGAGCCACACCGGCCAGGGCAGTATTTGGTATTATTTTAATACTGGGGAGGGGGGAATCCGTTGAGAAGTGCTAGGTTTAATTTGCATTTCACTAGTTACTTTATCTTTTGTTTGTGGTCCATTTACTTTTCTGAGGATTCTCTGTTCCATTCCCTTGGGCTATTTTTCTCTTGGGTTATTTATTTTTTTTCAGCAGTTTGTATAGGAGTATTATACACATTCTGGGTACTAATCTTTTATTGTATGCTGCTGTGTTTTTTTCTTAATTTAGACCTGTATTTACATATCATGAGCTATTAAGGCATTTTGCTGTTTTGATATTGGTGAAACAAGTAGTAGGTGAGACAGACTTAAGAATAATGAGGATGGCCCAGCTGGGCGTGGCTCAGCAGTAGAGCACCGACCTAGGATCCAGGCAATTGGGGTTCGATTCCCGGTCAGGGCACATGCCCGGTTGCGGACTCAATCAGTGACCCTCTCATCATTGATGTTTCTATCTCTCTCTCTCCCTCTCCTTTCCTCTCTCTGAAATCAATAAAGATATATTTAAAAAAAAAAAAAGAATAATGAGAATAGAGACATTTATAATAGTGTGAACAATAAAAATAAAGTTTAAAAAAAAGGAAAAGAAAAAAAAAGAATCGAGAGGAATTGTGCTAGATGAAGGTAAACATGTTTCCACTGTTGCTTGTGCAGGAATTGACCAACCATACTCAGTTTCCCCATCCTTTAAGAAAACTAAAAATCTGTCTCCTTTTATACTGTAATTAATCTGTATATATTCCTCTGCTTGCTTTTAAATTCAAGGTAATTTTATCTCCTTAAAATGGATTAATCTCATGCCAAATATCTTTTTCAAAGTTTTTCTTTTTCTAAGTTTGAGATTTTACTGCCCAGCTGGTGTGGCTCAGTGGTTGAGCATCGACCTATGGACAAGGAGGTCATGGTTTGATTCCCAGTCAGGGCACATGCCCTGATTGCAGGCTTGATCCCTGGTGGGGCTGTGCAGGAAGCAGCCGATCGATGACTTTCTCTCTCATCACTGGTGTTTCTATCGCCCTCTCCCTTCCTCTCTCTGAAATCAATAAAAACATTAAAAAAGAAAAGAAAAATCATGTCCTTAAAAAGTTTCTTTTAAAATAACAGACAATAATTGAGGATTGTCAGGTGCCTTTCTTGACAACACTCAAAGTACTAACTTTAAATCATGATAATTTTGAGATGATAGAGATTATTTTGTTGAGTAAAAACATTTTGTTTGTTAACTTTTACCCATATTATTTTCAGATTTTTTTTGGTCCCATTATAGAATAAATTAAGCATGTTTAGAACTTCTAGTTGTTGTGGCCTTATTTTTAAAGATACCAAATATTTCTCTTAGTTTGACTGGAAATGTAGTGTTTTCCTATATGTCTAAGCTATGTTTATTGCTTGATTTTATCACTCTGGAATGAAATAATTCCATAAATAAGAATATGTTTGTAATTTATAACTCGAATATTCTTAATTGACTTTAATTAGGAAAATTAGGATGCATGTTAGAAATGCGTACCTTTGAGGTTTATTGGGAATAATGATTAATTAATCATAGTAATTTTTTTCTCCCCGTATTTATCTGATTGCAATAAATTTGAATGTACACAATTTCACCTGGTGTGGGTGGGTGGGAAGAGATTAACCAAAGAATTTAAGCATGTATGCCTGACCCATGGACACAGACAAATAGTGTGGTGAAGGCCTGTGGTGGGGGGTGGGGTGGATTCAGGGTAGAAGGGGGTCAATGGGAAAAAGGACATCTGTAATACTTTCAACAATAAAGATAAATTTTAAAAAATCTTACCTGGTCTGGGTTTTGATTTTATAATTATTTCTTTTCAAAACCAAGAATTTCTGAAGTCCTCTTGTCTTACTTTGAATTGGTTTTAGCTAAATGATTATCTCATCCCCTACCACTTTTTCCCTTTGTACTTGATCTTTCTGGTTGAACATATTTAACTTCCCCCCCCCCAGGTTGAATTGACCAAAGCAATGGTTATGGAGAAGCCTAGTCCCCTGCTGGTCGGGCGGGAATTCGTGAGACAGTATTACACACTGCTGAACCAGGCCCCAGACATGCTACACAGGTAAGTTTTTCTGCCTGCATCGTCAAGTGCTGTTTTTCAGTATGTGGGCGTTTATCCTTGAGAATCTTATTCATCGTGCACCTTGCAGGGTTGTTGCATAATAGTGCTTTTTTTTAAAAAAAAATTGAAGTTATTGGGGTGACATGGGTTAATAAAATTATATTGGTTTCAGGTATACAATTCAACAATATATCATCTGTATATTGTATTGTGCGTTTACCACCCCAAGTCAAGAAGTCTAGTAGTGCTTTGTATAAATGCTGATAACATGTTGTTGTTAAAATGATATCATTTAAAATAGAATATGTAAATGTTATTTAAAAATTAGACTTAGGTTACCAGAACTTATACATTATCAGAAAAATAGTGCCTGAAAATGTAAAGGTGTAATATTCATGCTTTTGTTTTGCTGTTTTTGGTGAAGTAACTTGAATTATTTAGTAAGACTGTATTGAGTATTGAAGACTGCTCTTATAATAACATACTTTTGTGTTGATGTGTTTTAAAAACTTGGGGTATCTTTTTAGTGGAAACAGTACATGCTTGTTTTAAGTTAAAGCATGAAATAAACATGGAAGTAAAACCATGCTAACAGTTTTTCTATGTATATGCAAACATTTCAATATACTGTTTTTTAACAGTATATTTATTTGATAATCTGGTGTCATTTTACATGGGTAATACATGTTTCACATTAATTTTAGTATCCACAAAGTTTGTATTTATAGAGATGTAGCATACTTTAATCCCCTGAAGAGTTGCTTCCATTATTTCCCCTTATAAACAGTGCTGCATTATACATAACTCTTAAATCTATTTATGTGGACTTTTTATGTTGAAATTCTTAGAAATTCCAAAATGTCTGTTTGCTGGATAGGAACTGTTTTTCTTCTATACTTTGACAAGCTTGCATATTGGGTAACACATGACTGTTAGGTGCAAAAGAAAAATTAGGAATTCTTTTTACTATATTCAGTTAAAAAAGTTAAACTTATTACGGTGACGTTGATTAGTAACATGTGGACTGTAGGTGTACAACTTTATAATACAACACCTGTATACCCGGTTGTGTGCTCACCACTCAAAGTCTAGTCTCCTTTGTCACTGTATTTGGCCCCTTTCCCACCTGCGCCCTCCCCACCCCTGGCCCCCGGTAAGCGCTGTTCTGTTGGTGTTGGCGCTTGTTTGCTTGTCCTTCGCTGCTCACTGCTCCATGCCCCACGTGAGTGAAGTTCTAGTCTGTCCTCCCGCCCATCTGACTGACTTCGCCTGGCGCAGTGCTCCCAGGACTCATCCGTGCTACTGCAAATGGCAATGCATTTATATTTTTATGGCTGTGTTGTATCCATTGTATATATGTCCCACATCTTCTATGTCTGATTATCTGTCAAAGGAGCACTTAAGTTGCTTCTGTCTTGGCCACTGTGAATAATGCTACAGTGAACTTAGGGGTACATACATCTTTATTAATAAGTGTTTTCAAGTTTCTTGGGTAGGTATTTAGAGAGGGATTACTGGGCGGTGTGGTAGGTCTATTCTTAATTTTTTGGGTAACCTCCATACTGTTTTTCATAGTGACTGCACCAATTTTACATTCCCATCAGCAGTGTGGGAGGGTTCTTTGAGGCCTTGCTCTGAAAATGGAAAATCTCTTTTTTTTTTTAAAGGCTTTATAATTTCCAAAACACTTTCACTTGTTTCCTCTTGATCTTTTCCAAACTTTTTAGTAAGGTATTGTAGGAGAGAGTTAACCTCATTTTGCAGATAAAGATGCTAAGGAGTTAAGAATTTGCTGGTATTCATATGACTATTAGGGATAGAAAAAGTCTCCAAACTTTTATTTCTTTTTGTTGTGTATTAGGTCACATTATTCTGTGCCCTTAGAAGTTAGGTAAATATGAATTTAAAAAGGAGCAGGAGTTGAGAGAAACTGACCAAGTACATTCATATATTTCTTGTCAATATTGATATTTTACTGATTCTAAGACATCCTTTTTTTCACATTTCATCTCTAAGTATGAGAAGTGGCTTAGGCAGCAGTGAACTGATTTCACTAGCTGATGTGCAATCTTTTAATAACTTTAACAATTGAAAGGTATACTTGGGCCCTGGCCAGCGTGGCTCAGTGATTAGAGTGCTGGCCTGTGCACTGAAGAGTTTCAGGTTCGATTCCTGGTGCAGGGCATGTACCTAAGTTGCAGGTTTGATTCCTGGCCCCAGTCCAGGAGCGTGTGGGAGGAAACCAATAGCTGTTCCTTTTTCACATCGTTGTTTCTCTCCCCTCGTCCCCCTTCCATTCTAAAAAAATCAATGGAAAAAACATCCTTGGGTGAGGATTAATGACAGCAACAACAAAAGTATGCTTTGGGTCTTGTGGGCCCAGATTTTTCGCCTTTTGAGGAGCGGGGGAGGTGAAGTCACGTATGGGCTCATTTGTGAAAAATTGCTTAGCTGGCCAAGCTGGTGTGGCTCAGTGGTTGAGCATTGACCCATTAATCAAGAGGTAACCAGGATCTATTACAGGCCAGGATACAAGCCTGGGTTTCGAGCTCTATCCCCAGTAGGGGGTGTGCAGGAGGCAGCCAATTGATATTTCTCTCTCATTGATGTTTCTATCTATCCCTCTCCCTTCATCTCTCTAAAATCAATAAAAAATATTTTTAAAAATTTGTTTATCTGAAGTACAGATATTAAGTAATCTTTATAGTGTGTTTAACCCTGGGTTGGCTCTTCTGATCCAGTATAGTATAGTAATGAAAACACAGCAATTGAGGATAGAGAAAAATGAAAGCTATGGGAATTAAATTCTCAGCAAAATTCATCAGCAAAATTTATTAAAAACTACTCCTACAACCTCTCTGCATGGTGAGTTACTGGGTTTTAATGGAATTCCTCACTTGCATTCTTAGATACAAAAGGACTCTAAGTCTATGAAGAATATAGGTGTCCTCATCTATATCAAAACTGCCTGTTTTCTTCTTGATTGAAAAGAGGAACTTTTGCTTTAAGTGGCCTTCCTGACACGAACTGCAAGATCCTTCCCAACATGATCATCCTACCCTGAAACCTGGAAGTTGTGACTTGTAAAATAAGTATTCGCCTCATTGACGAATGCATTCCCATTCAGCAGTGTTTACTGATATGCAGAGGATGCACCTATGATTGCAAACAAAGATGAAGAGGAAAATATTCCTGCTTCAAAGAATCTGCTGCTGAGGCAGTTAGGTACCAAACATAAAAAATTAATACTTGGTCTTAGGAAAATGAGAAGTAAATTATATTCCTGTTTTATAGATTTTATGGAAAGAACTCTTCTTATGTCCATGGGGGATTGGATTCAAATGGAAAGCCAGCAGATGCAGTCTATGGACAGAAAGTAAGTATACTAAGCTTTATGTAGGCTTTTGAGCAGCTAGAAAACAACCCCTAAAATTGAAGTAGATGCATGCTTAATGGATTTGCTGATATTTAAAGATCAAATTTGTCAGCTTTATAGAAATTCAGGTATTCAGTAGTTATTTGGTTAATATGATAGCTATTGAAATGCTTATGATGTCACATTTGCTTATTTTGTATGATATATTCTGAAGTTTTTTTATATTAGGAGATTATTGGTTTTATCATGGGGATCATCATTGTAAACAGTTTTTAGGTATGTTATTCAGGACAATAATTTTAAAGGCTTAGAGAGGTGGTTATAATGATTAGGGGAGCATTTGAGATCTTGCTGCCTGGTTTATGTCATCAGTTTGGCTCAAACTCATATATTAACAAAGAAGACAAATCCAAGTAGGGTATGTGTAGTTTAATTTAAACATGCAAATTCTCTTTACCTGTGTTGTGTTGGAAAGTTTTTATTTTTGTTGGAGATTACATCAGTTTTAAAGCATTAACCCATGCCTCCATTCCTTAGGAAATCCATAGGAAAGTGATGTCACAAAACTTCACCAATTGCCACACTAAGATTCGCCATGTTGATGCTCACGCCACTCTGAATGATGGTGTGGTGGTCCAGGTGATGGGGTTGCTCTCCAATAACAACCAGGCTTTGAGGAGATTCATGCAGACATTTGTTCTTGCTCCTGAGGTATGGGGAAAAAAACCAATGAATGGTTGTGCATCTCGTAAAAAATACTCATTTTGAAATTTCAAATTTACGGAAAAGTTATAATAATAGTACAATAACTTCCACCTACTCCTTACCTAGAGCCACTGTCAACACTTGTTCACACATTTATAATTCTTCTATTAACCTATCATTTTAAATTCTAAACTATTTGATAGTAAATTGGAGATATTAGGCTAGTCATCCTCAAATACTTAAGTGAGCATTTCCTGAAAATAAAGAATTCTCTTCCACGACCATAGTACAGTTGTCAAATTCATGAAGTATTGATGTAATACAGTTATTAATCTATAGTTCATATTTAAATTTTGATTATCTTCCCAATAATGTCCTTTACAGTAATCCCCTACCCCTTATCCAAGATTGAGTCCAGGATTACACATTGTATATAGCTACGATGTCTCTTTGTCTCCTTTTATTTGCAGTAATTCTTTTAATATTTTGGTTTTTTGGCATTGACATTTTGAAAGAGCATGATCAAGTTACTTTGTAGAATGCCTCAGTTGGAATTGTCTGATACTTGTGATTAGATTTAAGTTATACACATACTGCCTTTCAGTGCCTCACATTAGGGAAGCTCTTGATGTCATTTAGTCCTATTAGTGATGTTAACTTGGATCGCTTACTTAAGGTGATGGTCAATAGGTTTCACGATTGTGAAGTTGGTATTTTTACTTTACTCATTAGTAAGTAAATTGTAGGTGATTTTTGGAGACTGTGCAAATACCTGTTTTTCATTAAACTTATGTTCTGGTTTTTGCGTTCCTTAATGATTCTTGCCAGAACTAACAGCTACTCTGATAGTTACAAATGATGATTATCTGATTCTATCATTCTGTATTTATTAGTTGGTATTCTACTGTAAAGAACTTTTCCTTTTCTCCTATCTGTTATCACTAATGGAGTCTTTATTTAATGGATTTAATCCATTGCTAACTTTATATCAATGTCTAAAATGTTCTAGACATGGTAAGTGTGACCCCCTTTAAGCTGGCTTCTGTGTGTGTGTGTGTCTGTGTGTGTGTGTGTGTGTGTGTGTGAGCACTATGCAACTTTGTGCCAGATGATGTTTCAGGTTCATCTTGCACTGTCTCTGCTCCAGCCCCAGCCCTAGCCCTGGGATCAGCTGTTTTCTTCAAGGAGCCATGGTTGTTTTTAGTTCTCATGCTTATCATGAAAGGACTAGATTTATAGAGTAATTGCATTTGTACTGTTTTCCCAACTGGTCCAGACTGAACCACGGCAGGAAGCTTATCTGTCTGCATAAGCATGCGGAAGTGGCTTAGTAAGGACTTGCTGATTAAATGTTTTCTCTAGCATTTCTCTGAAGATAATTTTCTGTTTAGGATAGTGAATCTAAAACCCCTATCATTTTACTGTTTGAATATAAAATAATCCATTGTCTTTGAAAAATTACGTGAGGTCATTTTGTCATGATTTTTAGAGGAAGGCTTAGATTATCTGCAATGTAAAAATGTTGGTGGACTTCTAAATATGCATGGGATTAGGTGGGATATCAAAGAGGAAGAATCTAGCTTATTTAATACTCAAAGTTCTAAGGTAAATGTTGGTATCCATTTTCTTGAATGTTTTTAAACATACTCTGTTCTTCCTTAATAACTTCTAATTGTCAAGACGTGTGAAGGGCCTGAGTTTTTAACCTACTTGAAACAGGTTAGTCTACTTCATGGATTGATAGAAGACATAAAACTCCTAAGTCAGAAGTAGACAGGTTATTTACAGATGCGGAAACAGCCTTAGAGTTTGAATAACTAGTAGCTGACATAGTTGGATTTAGACTCAAGAGTGTCTTAACCTAGTATAGGAAAACTTTTAGCAACACCACCCTTCAGTACTTGTATCAGTAGTCTTGGATACAGATTTAGGGAATTTAAAATATCTACTGTAGTTGCCAGTAGGTATTTATTGTTCAAGAAATGATTTGGTGTGGACTGTGTCGGCTTACATACTTACAAGCTTATCAAACTGGGTATCCATCTGTTGGTATGTAAAGCAAACCATATATTTGAGGCTCTCCCTCTAGGGAATATGTAACCGCCCTTCCCCCCCTTCCCCCAGGTGCTTACCTTTGCCTATCTGTCTCCTGAGCTCAAAGGGCTCTTCTTTTGCCTCTGAAACTTGTTTCCTGAGCCTACGAAGCCCAGCTGGCTCACTTCTACCTCTGTAACTTTCTAAATAAACTTTCTCTTATAATTTGAATAAAATAAGAAAAAGGAGGCCATATATTTGAGTGTAGTTCTAAAAAAAATATATTGATATTTTAGAGAGAGAAGAAGGGAGAGAGAAACATTGATGAGAAACTGATTGGCTGCCTCCTGCACACCCCCTACTGGGGATTGAGCCCGAAACCTGGGCTTGTACCCTGACCAGGAATCAACTGGCAACCTCTTGGTGCATGGGACTACACTCAACCAACTGAGCCACACTGGCTGGGCTGAGTGTAGTTTTTAACAGCCATGATGTAGAGTAGGGTTTTTCAAACTTGGCACTATTAATATTTTGGGCCAAATAAGTCTTTGTTGTGGCTGGCTGTCCTATGCATTGAAGGATGTTTAGCAGCAACCCTGCTCTCTACTCAGTAGTTGTCGGTTGCACTCCCCAGTGGAAAAACTGAAATGCCTGCAGGTATTGCCATGTGGCTTCTGGGGTGGTAGGGGGCAATAATGCCCTCAGCTGAGAACTTCCAGTGTAGGGTGATTTGGCTTTTTAAAAGTCTGCTGAATAAGTAAAAACTTTTTGTTGGCATTGCAGGGCTCTGTTGCAAATAAGTTCTACGTTCACAATGATATCTTCAGATACCAGGATGAGGTCTTTGGTGGATTTGTTACTGAGCCTCAGGAGGGTAAGTTACTTGCTTAAATTTTTTTTTGATGGCATTAATTGGCCAGAATAGAATATGGGCTTTTTGAATGTTTTTAAACATACTCTATTCTTCCTTAATAACTTCTAATTGTCAAGATGTGTGAAGGGCCTGAGTTTTTAACCTACTTGAAACAGGTTAGTCTACTTCATGGATTGATAGAAGACATAAAACTCCTAAGTCAGAAGTAGACAGGTTATTTACAGCAAAAATAGTAGGGTTTTTGTCAGTTTCCACAGGACATTGAAGTTCATATGATACCTGCATGACATTGGGGTGCATTAATAAGAATGGAACCTAAAGTTTAGGAAACCCAAATCTTTTAGAATGGGCAGTAAATATGCCTGCCCTTGGCTCTGGAGGGAGACCTATTTTCCCAGGCTGTCTGCTGTGTAAATTTTCTTAAAAGATTGTCCAGAACAAATGGTAGTCATTGCCTCAATTGTAAGACATGTAGAAACACAAGAGACCTATGGAGAATTGTCTCAGACAATAGCTGTATGGCTGATACGATTCTAGGTGCTTTGTATTTATTATGTAATATAACAGCCTTATAGATAAGTACTTTAGATACTGTTGTTCCCATTTTTAATGCAACACAGAGAAGTTGTTTGCTGATGTCAGTACAGCTAGTTAGGTGGCAGAGCCTGTATTGGATTACTGGCAATATGATCTCAGATTCCATGTTCTTAACCCGGCACTATAATCGCCTTAATCCTGCCCTTAAAGCCTGCTCTATGATTTTACAGAATTGCCTTATCTTCTTGACTTTTTAAATATATATCTGCTTTACTTAAGTCATTGCCTTTTTTATTATGATGAACATTGTGAAAGTGAATTTATTTGTGAATTAAGTAAGCACAAATTACTTAAAATTTTTTTCACTTAGAATCTGAGGAAGAAGTAGAGGAACCTGAAGAAAGACAGCAGACACCTGAGGTGGTACCTGATGATTCTGGAACTTTCTATGATCAGACTGTCAGGTAAGGAAAACTTGGTTCATCTGTCCAGAGCTGCATGAGAATTTGGGTTGTCTGGTCATTCCCTTTGTTGGAGGGCGGTAGTGTAGTCTCAGAATTATCTCAGAAAATAGTGGTAATTTCTCCAAAGAAGGGTTTTACTTTGGGACCTTCGAGCTTCCAAAAAATCTATAACATGTTTAATATAGTTTGCAGTATGAGGACTATTTAAGTTGTATCCACCAGTTGCTTTTTTTGACTTAGTTTTCTTCTGGGTGGTAAGTGAAAAAGAGTTGGGATTTCTTACCAAGTAATTAACAAACACATCAAGCCACCGCATTAAGTGCTTGGGGGGTGGGTTGGATATAAATATAAAGTGTACAGGGACTTATTTAGAGATTAGGTGTAAACCAATGGACATTCAGACCTGATTTATAGCAATAAAGAATTTCCTTAATTAACTCAGACAATAAATGCATGACTGTATCTTAAGTGTGTGTGTGTGTGTGTGTGTGTTTTAATTTGCAACCAGAACAGAAATGTATTTGCTAGGAATAGAAATTAGTACAGTATTTACTTGTTGCCATGTGATACTAGCAATGTTAATATTCAGTGCTTAAAGGATATTTTCAAATGTTTTTCAAGGTGTACTGATGAACTAATCACAGTACTCACCTGGGTACCTGGTTGAAAACGATTTGTTTTACCACAAACCTATTAAATTAGAATTTCAGGGGAGAAAACATCTGCAGTTTTAACAAACTGATTTATGTGGAAGTTTAAGAACTATTCTGAATCATAACTAATGTCTTTTCCTATTTTATTATGAAAGATTTTTTTGGTGTGTGTGGTAAAATCGAATAACAAAATTTACTTAACCATTTTTAAGTGTACTCTATAGTAGTGTTAACTAAATGCACATCTCTAGAACTTTTCATCCTGGAAACTGAAACTGTACCCATCGAACAGCTCAACTGCCCTTGTCCTCTCCTCACAGCTGTTAGAGTTTTGTGATGTGTGATAGGTAAATTGTAATGGTTTTGGGATTCTAACTGAGAAACTAGTTTGGTTCATTTTGATCCATTTGCTTAACTGTAGTTAAGATTGCTCATTGAGTACTTTTCAAAAAAGTTCTGTTTTAATACTCAGACATGTATTTCTTAGATCTTTTTTTGGGTTCAGGCTTCTATAGTTAATTAATAAACACTTGGGAATTTCTTGCTAAATCAATGGAAGCAGAATGATATTTCTCAAAATTTTCTGTGAAAGCAATGACTTGGAAGAACATCTGGAGGAACCTGTTGTTGAACCAGAGCCTGATCCTGAACCAGAACCAGAGCAAGAACCTGTATCTGAAATCCAAGAGGAAAAGTGTGAGCCAGTATTGGAGGAAACTACTCCTGAGGATGCCCAGAAGAGTTCTTCTCCAGCACCCACAGACATCGCTCAGACCGTGCAGGAAGACTTGAGGGTATACAACATGCCTTCATTTTTTTTCTTTCTAGTTTATTTTTAAGTCTCTATTCTCCATTATTGCTTGGTTGACTTCTGTAGGTGCATTTGCATATCGGTTCAGGGAAATTTCTTACATATTGAGCCACGCCTCAGATAAGAATGTGCATATTGCTTTATAAAATATTCAAAAGTAGCCTTTTTAGCCCTCTAAGGAAACTTGAATACTTTTTTAGACCAGAAATTTCAGGTGCTATTTTGTCACCATATCAACAACCCCTCATCTTTTTAATATTTCGTCTTTTAAATTGCAGACTATTACATACTTGTTATAACAAACAAGTGATAATGTATCTTTAAAAAATAAAGGCAGACTTTCCTGCCTTTTCCTATGAAACCTAACTGAGGATAACTTTATAGTAGGAGTAGAAGCAAACTGCTGAAATATAAGGTATTCCTAATTAGAATACCTGATTTCAAAATATTGAAGCTTTTCAGTTACTTCTAAGTCACATCAGGAGGATGTTAATTGAAGTCACAGAACCTTTACATTTGATACATTTGATACTCTGTGAAGGAATATGTGTTAGTGCTGTATTTATGGAGTTCTTATAATATTCATGTATGTCTCTGACAGTTAATTCAAGTGCCTGTGTGATAGGCAGTCTTCTAGGTATGGGAACTATCCGTCAAACGGATAGGGTTTTTGGTCTCCTTTAGCTAGTGAGTGAGTAGGAAAGAAACAGTGACATGACTTGAGCTTGCAGGTAGAAAAGTAGGTTGGCTGGATTGAAAATAGATGACCAGTTGTTAGGTGGCTATTATAGTAATTCTGCAGAGAATAATATTTTGGATTAGGGACTTGGCAGTGGAGGTGGAAAGAAGATAGTTAAGAATTAACAGGATTTTGTGATTTTGAAATGGATTGAAGGGGGGTGTTTACCATAATTCTAAAGTTGGTATAATTGATCATTATGTTTGTATCATAGCAGTCCTAAGAAATTAGTACTAAATTTGTAAATGGGGGTGGAGGGAAGAATCTCAAGATACTTGTAAACTCTATCCTGCCCATGAAAATGTGATGCATATATTATATACAAGAAATCAAGATCTAATAGCTTTTATGTTGTTTTGATGTTGTGGTGTAATCAGCTGGTGTTGGTGTTGTGTTACCTTAGACATTTTCCTGGGCATCTGTGACCAGTAAGAACCTTCCACCCAGTGGAGCTGTTCCAGTTACTGGGATACCACCTCATGTTGTTAAAGTACCCGCTTCACAGGTGAATTTCTAATTAAGCTTATATGTTAAGGCAAATATACTTGTATTTTGTGTAATGTGGTTTCATGGAGGATGTGGGAACTGATATATAGGACAGAGGAGAAGGGTAAAAGATGGTTTAGATTTTTCATGTGTGTGAGAGAGAATTGTCATTTTTCTAGTTTAAACCTTATTGTTAGCTAAGAAACTTAACAAGAAAAAAGTATTCTTGCTTTGTTTTTACACAAAAGTTAACAAATTTTTCAGCCTCGTCCGGAGCCTAAGCCTGAATCTCAGATTCCACCGCAGAGGCCTCAGAGGGATCAAAGAGTTCGAGAACAACGAATAAATACTCCTTCCCAAAGGGGACCCAGACCAAGTAAGAGCTCAGAAGGGTGATTTTCCTAGTTTGGGGGATTTTGAGGGGGGACCTCGTTATTTTCCGGGGGGTAGGGGTGCTTGATATTTGTTCACTTAAATTAAAAAATTGTAGAGTTGGCGGAATTAACCTGTATTTAGGGTAGAGAGAACGATTATGTGGAGTAGTCACTAAAAGTTGTCTTTGCCTTTCATTGCTGTTTTTGTTTTCTTTTAAGTCCGTGAAGCTGGTGAGCAAGGTGATGTTGAACCCCGAAGAATTGTGAGACACCCTGACAGTCACCAACTCTTCATTGGCAATCTGCCTCATGAGGTGGACAAATCAGAGCTTAAAGATTTCTTTCAAAGTAGGTGATTCAGTTTTAAACACTGGATTAATCTAATGCGGCACTGCGCAATAGAAATAGAAGATGGGCCACATATGTAATCCTTTAACACAGTGTGTCTAAACTGTCATTTCAACATGTAAAAGTATGTAAGAGGTGGTATACATTTTTCTATACCTAGTCTTCGAAGTCGTGTTTTTACACCTGGTCTTGTTTCGGACTAGCCACATTTTGAGTTCTCTGTAGCCATGCTGTATTGTATAGTGTTCATGTAATATTTAAAAGAAATGTTCTAATAGTTTATTTAAGAATTTGTATTTCACTCGCAGATTATGGGAATGTGGTGGAACTGCGCATCAACAGTGGTGGGAAATTACCCAATTTTGGTTTCGTTGTGTTTGATGATTCTGAGCCTGTCCAAAAGGTCCTTAGCAACAGGGTAAGCAGTTTTCATCTTGATTTTTTTTTTTTCTTCCCAATAAGCATGTATGTTGGCTCTTTGAATATTCATCCTTACAACTATGTCTTTTATGTAAAGTGCAATTTATTCTAACATGTTTGGGTAAAAATTCTATCACGTTCAACCATTAGTATCAAAAGCACTGCCTGGGAGTTTAGAAAAACAAAGCTTCTGTCTAAATAATTTAGTTTTTGAATAAGTGAGTGATGAGAATGAAATGACTAATAGTTACCAATGCCCTGAGATTTATGCAAATTCCTTTTCTTGGTGGTGGCTTCTAGTGTAGAACATGAAGTACAATGTTACATTTAGCAAAGATAACTTACCAGCCTGTTTGCCCAGGGCAGTCTTGGTGTAAAACTGCTACCTTGGTTATAGCTATGACGAGCTTCTCCTTTTAGTCTAGAAAGTGTCTGGGTTTGGACTCATCAAGCCTGGAACCACTTTTATTAGCATTACTGTTAGTCTGATTACAGAGGGATTTGTAGAATCTGAATTGTTTTACTGTGTAGTTCCTGAAGAACTCTTCCCTTCCCCCACATGTTTCATTAGCAAAAACACTTTGTAGTATTAGTAGTAGAGAGGAACAGAGGAGTAAATAATTGTGAATTTACTGAGATGGGTATGGGACCTTAAAAACCTCACTTTAAAAAGTTGTGGTGAAAGTCACATAACAAAATTAACCATCTTATTTTCATTTTTAATTTTTTAATGTGTTTTGTTTCTTTTAAAAAATTTTTTCAATTACAGTTGACGTTGAATATTATAAGGTATACAGTGTAGTGGTTTGACGTTTATGTAATTTAGGAGGTGATCCTTCTAATAAGTCTAGTACAGTACAGTGACATTTATTAACACACATTGCTGTGCAACCATTGCCTATCTGGTTACAAAACATTTTCATTAAAAGTAAGTCTCTTGCCCTGCTGGGCATGGCTCAGCAGTTGAGCATTGACCTAGGACCAGGAGATTCCTGGTCAGGGCACATGCCCGGGTGGCTGGCTTGATCCGAAGTAGGGGGCATGCAGGAGGCAGCTGATCAGTGACTCATTATTGATGTTTCTATCTCCTTCTCCCTTTCTCTCTGAAATCAATAAAGATAGATTTAAAAAAAAAAAAGTAAGTCCCTTACCCATTAAGCAGTCTCTCTCCATATTCTCTCTACCCAGGCCCTGGCAACCACTGTTCTGCTTTCAATCTCTCCAAATTAAAGCTACAAGTTTTATTAACCATGTAATAGAAATGTAGTAAATCATTATTTCCCAGAGGTTCTCCAGAACTTTAATGTATGTACTGCAAAGTTTGATGTTGTGGTCTTAACATTATGTGAGCCTAAATCTGCAGGTGTGCATTGTCTTGAGTGTCAGTGAGGTGTGTACGTTGAATTCACTATTTTTGTGAAGCATCTCCTGCACAACTTCGAGATGTGAGGAGAGAACAGGGGCTTGTCTCACCAAGGCCACAGAATATCGAACCCAGAAATCTCCAGTAGGCTTTGTGGATAAATCCATCATTGAGCATGCAATAGGTCCAGTGGCAAACCTTTTTGGTACAGCCTTAAATTCTTTGTTTCCTCACAGGGTATGATATTCCCAATGGGCCAGAGGAGCTCAGACTTGATAACTGGCTTCCTAGTTAATTGCCCAAGATAAGGGGTTTGTTTCTTTTAATGAATGCGGTTAAGCCTTGACATCTTTTTGTATAAGAATTGCTTGAGGTAAATTTCCTCAGAAAAGGGGCTGTATGTCTGATACCTTTTCATTAAGATTGCTTCTACCCTTGTGATAACTCCTCAGGGGCGTTTTCCATAACTAGAACCACCCTCTCTCCCCTTGATCTTTCAGAATTTAACATGATTTTATTTTTCCCTTTGTATCTGGAACATTGCCTGGAACAGTGCTTCAGATTGCATGTGAAGCGATTTTTATAGTGTGTATATAAAATACTTATAATGTTTATATTGAGTTAAATAAAATATATTTATAAAGGTACAAATATAAATATATATTTAATCAGAATTTAAAATACAAATTGGAATTAGAGTTCAAAAAAAGGCTACTTTTAATGTACACTTTAGATTATTCCTTTGTATTTTGGGAACTTCAAGTGTATCTTGATTTTTTTATTTTTTTCCCCCCCCCCCCCATCTCACTGTATTGGTAGAAGTCCCTTCAGTAATTTTTTATGAGTGGCTTTTATGAGTGGCTTATAAACCTGATGACCATGGTGTTTCACATACTTTAGTGTAGCATAGTGGTTCAAAGCTTGTATTTTCCAGTCAGGATGGCTTGGTTTACACTCCTCTTACATCACTCATTAGAGTTCCTTAACCTTCTTGGCCCTTAGTTTGCTGGTCTCTTAAAAATAGGTATAATAACAACCCTAAGAGGGTTGTCGTGAAGATTAAATGAGAATAAATGTGAAGTATATAGTACATGTATCTGCATAGTAAGTACTGTTAGCTTTGTTGTTAGATATTTATTTTAAAAAATATTTTACTTAGCAGACCAGTGAGTGCCAATGAAGTGAGTACATGGAATTCATTAGAATCTTGAGTGATCCTTTGTTTCCTGCTTTAGTTCTGTTGGGCGAAAAAGAAGGCCAGAGACTTGGTGTGCATTTATCTTCTTTTTCCTTTCATTAAGATGTTATCTTTATTGTCTTCAGTATTTTTCAAAATTCTGTTAAGCCAACTAGCATTTTGTGAAAGTTATATTTAGATGAAATAAATGATGTTTTTGAGATGCATATGAACTTTGCATAAATATGTGCAGCACAGTCTTTACACATCAGGTGATCCTGGGGTTTTATTCTGAGCCTCGCAACCCTTCGAAAAGGTAGCAGTTCTTATATTCTATTTATGTAATTCTATAGGAAAATAAGATTTACTTTAATAAGTATAAGGTGAGTTACTTGCGCTGCTGTGCTGTTTAAATGGACTTTTTTGAACTAGCCTGCATACCCTTGCATACCTAATCACTTTTCCATGTATTTGTTAATGGGAACATTATGTATTCTGAATTTGAAACAAAAACTGTGAATGTAGGTGATTTGTAAGCTACTGTTCTGTCTAATGTTTTAGCTTTGATAGTTGGTAGCCTGTCAGTGCTGCATGTAAGTCTTCTTCCCTTGACTCTTGCAGCCCATCATGTTAAGGGGTGAGGTCCGTCTGAATGTGGAGGAGAAGAAGAATCGAGCTGCCCGGGAAGGGGACCGGCGAGATAACCGCCTTCGGGGACCTGGAGGCCCTCGAGGTGGGCTGGGTGGTGGCATGAGAGGCCCTCCCCGTGGAGGCATGGTGCAGAAACCAGGATTTGGCGTGGGAAGGGGAATTGCTCCAAGGCAGTGAATTGCTCTGCTCTGATCTTCACTCAGCAGTACAAACCCCCGCTCCTGCAGAATGGTGAATTTCTTCAGCCACCCTTTGGCATCTTGCAGTATGACCCTGGTCTCTTATAAACTGCTTAAGTTTGTACAATTTTACTTTTTGTGTTAATGGTGTGTGTTCCCTCCCCTCCTCTTCCCTCCCCTCACCTTTTAGTCCTTCACTTCCAATTTTGTGGAATGATATTTTAGGAAAAATGGATTTTTAAAGAAGAAAAAAAAGACTGAATTTCTTTGCTTCACTTTGCATATACAGACTGGATTTTTTTTTTAAGCCATTTCCCCAGAGGAATGTGTCTCGCTTATTACTGACATTTGGTATATTTCATTCATTAGGATAGTTCTTACTTATTTTCTATGTGTTTCGAAAGCCTTTGAAAAATTCAAGATTTGATAGACATTTTGAAGGCAGGAAAAACCCAAATTGTTTCTTCTTTTGAGAGTCATGACTACCTTCTGGTGTGGAGAAACTGCCATTGGAAAAATTGACAATTCTGCTTCTCACTGGTATGGTTAAAAACTGAATAAAAGGTGTTAGTAAAGTTTTTTTTCTTTTGGTATGTGATCACAAAACAATTCTAAAATCTGCTTTAACCATTGAAATTTAAATTGTGAAATAGGTTTTAAATGTCTAGAATGCAACTGATGTGCTTTTCTTGAATTATTAGGTTTTTTTTGAAGTAGAACCTGTTTTCATGTTTTATTTGTATTTGTAAAAACAAACAAAAAAAGACCAACACCCCTCCCCCACAATCTGAATACCACAAAACCAGAGCAAAACTGTTGTGCCTTCTATTTATCTCTGATTACAGTCTTGGCAATTGTTTAAAGAAAAACAATAAAAAAAGTCTAGATTTGTTTTTCAGGTTCAGAGTATGTTGGGAATTGTGGACCCCTTCTTCACCTGCTGTCTTCTGTTTATTTGTTATGCCTCATTTGAAATTGGGTCTCAAACTGGAATGCCTTGAGAACGGATGCTTCTTTAGAGGTTCTTAGACCTAAATAGTTTGGCATTTTATTTTGGTATCTTTTCAGAATTCTAATCAGCCCACAAGAAGGAATGTGATTTTCATATTGGACTTTGCTGATGTGCTTGAGTGTCTGCTAGTCTTTTTCCTTTAAATCATAGCCATATGATAAATTTTCTATTTTGTTAATGGTTCTCTTTTATTGATGGGCATGCAGTGGGTGTTTCTTGGAAATGGCCAATTTTTATTAAAATATTTCTGGAAGAAAATTTGACCTGGCAATATAGACTAAAACTTGTTTTACAAAGTATGTTGTTTGTTGAGTGCTGTGTGTGATGTGGGTGAAGGTTTTGTTTACACATTTGTGAAGCAGGCCTTTGTGTGATATCTTGTCATTACTAGTTGAAGTGCAGTGAAGTTGTCAAATTTAACTTATTTATTTTCTTCTTACAGTGTTCATCTTTAGGACTGTTGTTTGAGGATAGGATGATAGGAATAGGAATGTTTGTTTTGTTTTTCTGTTGCTGGGAAACTAGGTTTGCTGAAGGGTGTAGTCTTAAACTAAAATGAAATATGATGTTATCAGTCAGTCCTAAGTACCTCAAATATTTGAAAATTGGCAGCATCTCCTTCATATAAAGAAACTTACATAACTGAATTGCATGGCTGTTTTGGGGGTCAGTTTAAATAATTATTTGGTGACCACTTCATTTGGCCCAGGCCAGTGATAATTAGGAGAAATTCAGGTTATACTTCTGTAGCTTATATTAAGCTTTTGGTGGAAAGAAAGAAAGCTTAGCCTGAGTTATTTTTGCAGTAACTGTAAGGTCATAATTTATGGATAACCTAGAAATAATTTTTAACAAGTGGATACTAAACCATACATTTCAAAATAGGAGTTCTTCCCTCGCAGAGATTTAAGGGCACTAACTAGATGCAGTGATACTCTATTTGGGGCTGTTATATCCTAGAGGATATTTGGAAGTATGTGAGATCGTGGTGGGTCCTGGAGGGGGGCACTGCATCTGGCATTTAGTGGGTGAGAGCCAGTAAGGCCACATGTTTTGTAAAATGAAGCAACTGCATTGAAAACACGGATAGTCCCTATTCCTATAATGCATGGTGGGTGGAGTGGTAGATTATTACAGCTGGAGTTGAAGACTCATTCCTTTGCAGTAAAGCCTCAGATAAAAATAAACAAATTAGCAAGTAGGTATCTCTTTTAGGAATGATAGTCACATCTACTGTAAGTTCTCTCATTTTTTTTCATTTATACCAATATGTGGTTTTAAGAACATTTTTGAGAGGTAACAGTATGGTAAATGCTGCTTGTAACTTGTTGCAGGGTGTTACTGCATAATCTCAGAAAACAAGTTTGCTTCAGTAATTTCAGTTCATCAGCATTTGGGTGATTGTGGAGTTTTGAATAGCATTGGAGTTTTAAAAATAGGATTTAGTATTGTATTTTTAACACTATAAAAATCCCAGTATCATTGTTGACATTGCTGATGGAATAAACATGATACCATACAGATACATATATTCACACAGGTAGAAAGTGAAAATAAAATAGGTTTAGGGCAGGATTTTCCTATAGGTAGTAGCTCATCACATTTAGCCTTTCTGGTTTTAAAATGCACATTTTCATCTGTAGGAATGGCCCAAGTATAGTTCTTTTCTACTGAGCTTAATGCCCTTCACTGATGTTCTTAACTAGTATCTTTCTAGATACTAGGTTTATTTGATTCAATGTGCATCTTAGTCTTTTAAGACATGTTGAAAATAAATAACACCTTCGGACTTAAAAAAGTTCTTGTGTTTGATTTTATGGTGAGGTTGGGCTTTTCCTGTGTACTCCTCTGTTCTCAACTTTTTGAGCTATTGCTGGGGAGCAGTGAAATGGATAATCCAAAGTAATTATTTGACTTTGAGTAGGTTACTGCCATAGCGTTAGTTAAATTGCACTTTAGTTTTAGGTTGGAAAACTAATTTTCCCTACTCTCTGGATTAGGTACTATTTTCGCCAAAGTAATAGATAAAAGAGAACTGGCATCAGAGCAGTTACGTGACTAGACCTCCAAGCTATCCATGTAGCAAGGAGCAGATTGGCCTCCAAAACTGAGGCATTTTCTCTAGAACCAAAATGCCTACATATGTACTTTTGAGTGAAGTATTAAGGTAATAACAGATGACCATATAATTACTACATTATAGAGACCAGATATAAACCATTGATAGCAAGGTTTGCATTTCTGTTCTCCATTTCCTTTAGGGTAAACAATATAAGTAAACATTGATTTGTATAGGGCTTCTTTCAATTGCAGACTATTTGGTAATAATAATGACTTGTTCTTAATTATTTTCTTATCTGACTTGATAATAACAGTGCAGTCTTGAAAGCTGGATGTGGATAATAATACTTTTATTAGATCATAATCCAGGTGAGTTTATAGCAGTTACGTTTTGTGCTTATTACTGCCATCCTCTGACACTTCTCTTCCTTTATTTGAAAACCCTTGTAGAGTTTAATGAGTTAGTGGAAAATGAGGCACTTTATAGAACACAATTTGTTAGAATCTAAATGGAAATAATCTTTCTGTGAGGTGTAAGTTTGTAGATCATTGTTTATGCTGAGTGGCCTGTTTTCTTTTATGTAAATGGTTGCATTTGTCAAACCTACTGATCTAAAGATGTCTTTTATATTGAAGTTTTATTTTTGTGCTACTTAAAAAGAATCTCTGCAGGACCTGCATACAGGTGACCTTTTAGTCCAGCAGTTTTGAACCTAGAAAAATAAGCAACTTCATTTATTTGAATATGAAGTTCTAGCTAACTGCCTAATATACTGAAAATGGGCATTGGATAGTTATGGTAGTCTTCCACAAATGTTTAAAAACCTTAGGAATATGTTAGCAACTTAGCAATGTCTTGTGTGAGATGAGGTTATAGATTAAAGTTTCTGATCAAGTAATAGCCATGTGGTACCAGACAATTATGTAAGGATTTCTGGTTTTAAACTAGTAATACCTTTTGGGATTTGTATTTGTATACTGTGATATTGAAGTCTTGGGGACCATAGGCAGGCTTGTGAACTCTTACTGGTCAAGGAAAAATGGTGGCACATGTGAAATAAAACTTTTATTTACATTCTTTTTTGTGACTATCTAGCTTAGGATGCTGCTTAAATTAGACTGCTTTGCTCGTGCTTTCATGAAGTAGTCTCTCATCATGGCCTGCATGAATAAAGAGTTTATTAGAGGTGGCCTAAAACCACTAGCTTTAGTTTTGATTTATGCTAATGTATGGCTTAGAATAAAGGTTGTTCGCTTTTTGATTATATGACTTGTTCTGAAAACCTTGGACAGTCTCCCCTCCTCCAATTTCCACTTGAACCTGGTAGCCTTTTTTTTTAGTTCCCTGGAGAAGAAAAGAGTATTGGAAGTCAGTTCCACTATTACTTCCATAAACCATGTGACCTGGAAACTGCAGAAATCTACACTGTTGTTATAATTAACCATTTTGGTTACTGAAACTTTCCCCATGCTGTGGTGTCCCCTGTTTTACTTTGGATTTGGTTTAAATTCTTAAATGTTGCTGTGAAGAATGTACATGTATATTGATTTGGCCCTTTTAAACGAAGACATACCGAGAAGCTGGCAGAAGGAAGTAGGGAGGAGAAAAGGACCTCCTTTCTTTAAAGATTCAGTGCACACTTAAGTAAATTTTGTTGGACATGTCTTGTTAAAAATAAATTCATTAGGTAGCTGTTAGATTTTGAAGATGAGTGGGGTGGAGGTGGAACTTAGCTGTTGATAAAGTAATTTGTGATTTATATGGACAATAATAATTTTAAATGAGAAACAATAGAATATTCCCATAAAAGTTTTCCCACTCTGATTATTACCACAAGAGACAGAAGAGGCTCCTAGAATTCCTTGAATCATAGAAAGTTAGTACTGGAAAGGATTAAAGTGATTTGTGTAACCTCTTCATTTTTCAAAGGATATAGGTGGCTCTGAGAATTGATTATTAGTGGAGCCCCAAATAGGCCTGTGGGAGTAACATGGAGCACCGTCAAGGGTTACTAGTCTGCCCAGGGCTCACTATAGCAAGCCAGAGCTGTTAAAGGTCAGGATGCGGGAGAAAGGGGAAGGAGCCACATTTTATATGCTCACTCAGTTGCTTCTATATAGCTCAGTTTTCATACCTAGGTTTTGTCTCTTTTCTTAGAACTGTCTTAATGCCCACTTTTACCAGGGCCTGTTGTCTAAGGACATTACCATGTGCTCCCCTCAGGGATGGGTTTACTACTAGCTGTCAGAAAGCTATTGGGTATCCTAATGTGTTAATAGCTGAAACTCAGCTGTAATTTTCTCAAATCTATCAGCATTTTACATTCTGTACATTGTGGTGCTTTTCCACCTTGTATTGTTATAACTGTAAGCTCCTAAGGGGCAGCAATTTGGTCTTAGGCATGTACCCTGTTCAGTGCCTGGCAGTGCCATGTGTGTATCAGGGTCCTAACCTTCCTTTCCAGTGGTTTCTCCCATTCTCCATGGAAGTGATGCTCCAGCCATCCTGAACTACTCCTGGTTCCTCTCATAAGCCAGGCATTGTCACTCCGTGGCTTTAAGTGCCTCTTCCCTGATGAAGATAGACTTGCATCTGCTTTCCCTGTCCAGATCCCTTGCTATTGAAGTCATTTTTTTGAAGATCCAGTTCAAGAACCGATGGGTTTTTTTCTTAAGAAAGAAAAGATTTGCAGCAGGAGTGGGGCATCTCTGGTGGTTGATCTGGCCAGAATTTGAAATGAGGAACAAATTCATTCTCATCTTTACTTCTACGTTGTCCCTCCCGTTTGACAGTCCCAACCTCCATTTAAAAAAAACTGTTCCTTGAGCACTTTACACCTTTGTCCTAACTAAACACTTATGCCTTCGGCCTAGAATGAGAATGACCTGTTTTACTACATTATTAGACCATAAGCTCCTCAAGGACAAGGACTGGGGGAATTAATTAATCCCTGTACTCCACCAGAAGGTCTAGCTACTTATAGGAAAGTCGTTAAATGATGACTCATTGAGTTGAATGAATTAATGTATTTTTCTTTTCATTTTCACAAGGGAGGCATGCCTAGAGCTCGGATTTAATTGAATAAATTTTAGGCACTATGACATTGCATAGTGGAGGGAGGGGATTGTTGGGAAATTTTGAGGGGTGGGCAGGGGAGAGAGGAAATCGCTGGTCATTTTGAGGATACTTCCATCCCTGGTCTGAGTAATTAGTCATTTCTTTCTGACTGCCCAGTGTATCCCAGGAACTTGGTTTCTACTCAGAAGAAGAATTTTATGTGCCCGTTTTCATTTCACAAACCTCCATTCTTTTGGTTCATGTCCTCACCCATGCCCCAAGTCTAAGTTAATCTGCTTCTCTTTTTCTTACTCCCCACATCCAGTCAGCTAAGTCCTGTCAGTTCTACCTCAACAGTCTTTCACATCTCTTCTCACCTGGATAATTTCAGTGGCCTCAGCTTCCTTGACCTCTTCTTACCCCAGCCTACCTTATATCCCATGCTAGATTCATCTTACTGAAACATAGCTCTAACTATGATCCCATGTATGTGTTCTATCTCCCCTGCTAGACTGTAAGCTCCTGATGGGCAGGATCTGTGTCTGAGTCGTCTTTGTATCTCCCATAGCGCACATATCAATAAATATTTCTTGAATGAATAACGTAAAGCCTGTTGTAAGTGAACTGATGTTTTCCAGATCAGATGTAGGTTTCTTTCTGGGGTAATTGCAAGACTTCCAAAATTCTCTCATGTGTAAAGTTGGTTGAATAATAACTATGGATTAACCACAGAGAAAATTTCAGAAAACTTTAATTTTTTTCCATTGGAATCAGCATGGATATGTGTATATGGATGGTTCAATAAATATATTTTTATATACATGTATCACAGAAATTTTACATTCCATCTTCAAACTGCAGAAATAGATTTTTTTTTTACAAGCCAAAAATAACTGCCATAACTTTTATGACTTCATGCAAAAAAGGGAAGAGTAAGGGGTAAAAGGGAATTGGCTGGTCAAGATTGAGAGTCCTGTAAGAAGTAAAAATGTTACATTAAGGAAGCGATTGCTTAACACGCTGCTTAAGGTGGTAGCCAAACAAATCCTTAACTGCAGCATTAAGGCCATACAAGTTTATACATATATACAAAGAAATTTCCATATAAAAGACATACTATCACATTTTCTTGTGGGAAAGGATGAGGAGCTTTGTGAGTAATTCTGACCCAGTTTTCCAGGCCAAGTAATAGTTTAAGATTTCCCCAGGCTACTTCTTGGAACTCTTACTTTGGCTGTCAGTTACTGCTCTGTGGGCTCTTGACTTTTGTAGTCTCTTACAGGGAAGTCTGAGTGATCTTCAACTTCCTCCTCTGTCTTAGGGGATCAAGCACTTTGTAGCTTAACTAATTCACACTGCCCAGCCCAGCGTATGTTTTACATCTCCCTAAAGTATTGGAATCACAGAATTGTAACTTCCAACTGTCTTACCTATAACAGACTTCACAGCCAAACACTGACATTGTGACCTAAAGAATTACATGGTGCCCTCCTTCTGTTCTTTGGGGTTAAAAATAACTGAATAGTTATAGTGTAATGAAGGAAAGTGAGGTTTCAGGTAACATCCCCTGGAGCTGTTGAAAGTTAATACTGAACCTGTACCCCCATGTGTCACGACTCATTTAAGTCAGCTACCTTTTTGGAAAAAAGGAGATGTAAAATTACTTGCAGAAGAATTGTCGTAACATGGGATTTACTCTTTTGCCTAAACATCAAATCAGGTAACTAAGACAAAGGGTAGGTCTTTTGTGCAAATATCTATGTGCATGAAATGAGGGAAACATGAAGGGTGCGTCCTTTGGAGATGACTGCCCATTATGCAGAAGTCTTTTGCTTTGGCAAAGTTGGGTAAGACTTGAGATTGGACACTGGTTCTATTGGCAGAAATTGGCCTATGTTTGTGGATAATCTTGAGTAAAAAAAAGAAAAGTTACTAAGTTTATGAAAGATCATGTAAATAAAATACCCTTTTCCCCTGGAACTGACTGAGCCTTTATTTGATAATGTTTTAACTCATTTTGGACTGTTTTAAGTCAATCTAATACTGCTTTTTCATTAATGCTTAGCTGTGCGTTAGGTATCACTAGTAGCTCTGTTCATCCCCAGTTCTTTATGGGCCAGTTGCCCAGTATGGCTCCAACATGTTCACAACTATGGCTGCAAGTTAACTTGGTCTCCTCCCATGGGTTCCCCTGGCCAGTCAAGTTTGAGGATGAGGTGTCTGGAAATGGCCTTCCTGGGAGACACAACCAAATAATTTGTGATTTGGAAGCACTGTAGTATGTTTGGACATTTAGAAAGTGAGCAAACACTGTCCAGTCATTCAACAGCCACTCTTTGCCCAAATGACACTAGTTATTCTCGTCAGTCTAGAGATGAGATTTTAGCCAGCAGGTCGATTGAACTTTGTACATTTCAAGTGTAATTACAGAAATTGAAGTGTGTATATTCTGTCCAGTTTTTCAAACTTAAATTGGAGGCAGCTGAGGTCCCTGCAGTATTTGTCTTGAAAGTAGAACTTGGCTGTGTAGCTTTCTTGGGTTCTTTTTGAGACCCTTGCACTACTGTTTGTCTACTATGCACAAGAATCACATTGGATAGGGAGTTCGCCTCTGTCCAACAGACCAGGTAGCAAGACCCACCCCTTGGGGATTTTGCTCACTCATTTTAACTATTGTTAGTGCTGAAAATACTATAATGGATTAAGTATTGGAACACTGAACCATTAAAATAATGAAATAGTGTGAATTTTAAATTCATGGTATAAATTTTAATTTTAATGCTTTGAAATGCATTATGGGAACATCCAGCTTTTTAGCTTCTTGCTATATTCTGGCTAAATGGCGTGCCGAGAGCATGGTACGTACACCTTTGAATGAGGTAGAAATACCTAATGTGGAAAAAATTTGAGCTTAGCAAACTACTTATTTAATATGTAAGCACCACTTTTTAAAAAGATTTGGGCCAATCATTTACTAGGGTAGGTAATACTAATCTCTTTCCCCACAATATTCTTTCTAAAGGGTTCGCCCAAGAAAGGAACTCTTTCCGGAAGAAACTATTCATTTTACATACTAGCAATGGCTTGATTAAAAGCTAGTTACATTTTGTCTTTTTGAGAAAAGTTCACATTTGGCTTTTTTCCTCCCTACCTTTTTTCACTATGGACATGATTTCATGCTTTGAATCGGCAGATGCTCTCTAGCTTTGGAGAAGTCATTTTAGATGTAGCCGAAAATAAGGACAGACTAGACTATTCTAGGTCTGCTTTGTGTACTGATTTCAGCTCAACAAAAGGTAATAGTGTTTGCACCATAAGCTCTCCTTTAGAAATCCCTGCATTGTACTAAGTATCAGCTGTCTGTCTGACAAAAGGGGAAACTAGAAGTTTTTCAGAATTCCTGTGGACTGGCAGTCTCAATGCAGAATCAGGGCTTTATCGTACCCCTGTCCCCTTTCCAGCGCCTGCCGAGCACAACCTAAGTGCTTCAGGTTGAACCGATGCCCTTGAAGATGTGAGTTTCTAGTGGATGCTATATCTTCTCCTAAGATGAAGGGAAAGGTAAGTTCCCCCCAGATAAGTACAGGAGGATCTGAATGAGGCTGGAAGTGTCGGCTAACGGCCTGTCTTTGAGAACAGCCATCCTCTACAGAGCCCTGCGGCTTACTCCGCATTTAACGTCGTTAGGATGTACTCCAAGTCTTATCTTTCCAGCTGAGCCTGCCATTCATTACACTGGAGCCAAATGGATAATCCCTGTACCTTGTACGTGCCCCTGGTTTTTACCTCCTTGTTTTTACTCCTGTTGGTCCCTTTACTGGAATACTCTTTCCCATCTGCCAAAATCTCACCTGTTTTTTAAGGTACTACTGCCCAAGTGGCCCTTAGGCTTTGAAAGGCTCCGTGATTTATTTTCTGCCCACTTCATGGCACCTTCCTTTCTCACATATTCCCTGCATTCTTATTAGTGATTATTGTGGTTATTTCTATTGTCCCCTCCTATATTATAAGAAAAGAGGCTGTGCTTTATTCCGATGGCCTGCTTTTATCGTATACCACCTTGCCACAACTGATTTAATAAGTAGCCTGTGGATGTATGACAAGTGTAGGGAGGTTAAAAACAAAGCTTATAGAAAACCGGAAAGAAAAAATATATATATTCTAGTCCTGGCTCTGACACTGGCTATTGAGACCTCTTCCCTGAGCTTCCACTTCTGACTTGAATTCTGAAAGGCTAAGCTGCTTTCTCCATGCTGAGACATTTCAAAAAATCAAAGGCAAGTACGTAGCAGCTACCTGGAGACCCACTGACCCTGACTTGAGGTCATTCAACAGAGTCCATTCAGTGTGCCATTTGTCTCACCAGCATGCAGAGCTATGCGGGACTGGCCCTGGCCCTCAGCAGTGGCTAAGACATCCTGAGGTCACTGCAGTAGCTCATGGTCCTATTCTGCCAAAGGCCAAGCTTCTGGATGCAGGTGGAGAGACAGATAAGGCCAAGTGGGTCCAAGGAGCTAGTAAGCAGAGGCCTTGTCCTGTGAATGGGTCTGGCTTCATTTATATACATCAAATCACCTAGGAGGTTGTTAACGTCAGGAACAAAAGGACTGGGAGACAAGCAGCAGCTTCTACTTAAAAAATTTTTCTTGTTGTTAGAGGATATGTTCCCACATTTCCCTGTAATTCCATTTTCTCACATTATTTCCAGAGCATGGATGGGGTAAAGTCATTAGAAGACCCTCCTTTACTGGGACTTTGGTCATGCTGCCACTTAATACTCGTTTCAATGGTATCTCATAGAGAGGTGCTCCCTCTTTACCTGAACACCTGCTTGGGGGAGTAGTTACTTGCATTTAACCCTTTGAAAGATTTAAATCCAGGTAGTGGACTGCTATGGAAAATAACCTTTTGTTTAGAGTCTGAGCTCAACTATCCCATCGCCCAAGAGACCTTGGAGTGTTGTTCCTCCAAGACACAATTTCTCGCCTCAGAATTCTGTCTCTGGTCTCCGTTACCACATCTTCCCGTGAGTTGCTGAATTCATGTCCATATCACATCTCACGTCACTAAGGTTAACTTAGTTAGGGACAGCGCTTATCTTTGGTTCCTGTGCCTTGCATTGTTTGTAGTAGGTTCTTAGTCTTAATTGAGTGAATGTTTTAAAGGGATTCCAGACTTAGGAAAGACTTCCAGAAAATATCTAGTCCTTACTCTCAATTCCGGCCAAACCCAAGTCATTCCAGGCACAAGTCATTCCATCCAAGTCTCTTCTGCAGGACTATTTAATAGGGAGCATGTTCTCACTGTCCTCTGAGTCCCATCGATTTCCACACTGCTGTGTTGCCTACTCCTTTTACTCTTCCACAATTCTGTAGCTAGAACATGGCTCCACATCAACTCTAAATCCTTCATGTACCAAACACTGGATTAGTAGGCTGTCAACTTTTTAAGGTGGGCTGATAGGTTTATATTATTTATGACCAAGTCCTGAGAAGATGAAGACCAAGGATTGCCTTGTTTGGTTCTTGACCAAGATGTTTGATTTCTAGTCTAGTACAAGATAGTATTCCTTGGCATTTAACAGATTACATGAGTTAAA